GCGGGCAGAGCCCGGGTCCCGGCAGCGGAACCGGCACCGCCACCGGGCCGGGCCCGGGCCCCGAACCCGCGGCCCGGGCCCGGCGGGAGCCACCGGGGCCCTTCCGCATGGCGCGGGGGCGTGGCCTCCTCCGTGAGGGGCGTGGCCTCCATGCGGGCGGTGCCGTGGAGGGTAGCCAGGCGACGGGGACGCCGCTGATAGGGCGCGGGGCAGGGCTCACGCGCTAGGCCCAGCCCTCTCCCCGAACGGCGGGCTCTGGGGTGAGAGCGAAGGCGCATGCGCGGTGGCCCTGGGCACACGTGCGCGCGCGCGCAGACCCCGCTGGGCAGACCGCCCCGGGAGGCGGGGCCGCGGCGTCGGGGGCGGGGCCATGCTTGACACGTCACTCTCAACGTGTGATGTCACGACAGATGTCACCTGGGGTGGGGGCATCACTCCAGGTGGGGATGTTCACCTCGGACCAGGACACCAGCCCAGAGACGTGACCCTGGATGGGGACGTCACCGCGAATGTGGATGTCGCCCTGTACCGGCAGGTCACCCAGGATGGGGACGTCACCCTCCATGGGGATGACGTCATCTTCCACGGGGCCATCACCCTCCACAGGGCCACCACCCTCCTTGGGGCCATCAGCGCAGTTGGGGTCACGGCCACAGGGCTTTCGCCCTCCAGGGGGACATCAGCCCACCTGGCGTCACGTCATCACTGTGGGGCCAGCACCCTCCACGTGGTCACGACCTTCCCCAAAGACATCACCCTCCGTGGACCCATCACCCTCCATGTACCCATCACCCTCTGTGGGGCCACCCCCTGCCCCCGTTGCTACCACCCCCTCTCTCTCTACCCCCTTCGCTTGGTGCCTTTTTTTTTCTTTTTTTCCTTCAAGTCTTGGGGTTTGATGATTTTTTTTTTTTTTCCACCTTCTCCTTCGCCCTTTCCAGCAACCGCCACGGCCAAACACCCCCCTCTATGTCCTCACATCCACCACCACCGTCCCTGCCGGCGCTTGTCCCTTCACCTGCCGTCATCGCGCCGGGTGGCTGGGTGTACCCAGTTGTTATCGTGCAAGCCCACCCTGCAACCGGGCGCTTCTTTATCGGGTCTCCGGCAGCACATCCAGTAGGATCGGCCGTAAGGCAGGTCGTGGTGGTAGGGCTTGGGATGCCATCGGCACAGGGACACGTCCCCCTTCTCATAATGCTTCTTGCACTGCTTGCAGGGGTCGTCGCGGTAGAGGGGGTCGCGGTTCCAGCGGGAATCGGTGGCCTGCACCCCGAAGGTCTCGATGATGGACTTGAAGTAGTGACAGGAGCACTTGAGGGCGGCCAGCGCTTGAGTAGGCAGGTAGCTGAAGATCTTCACCATGACATGGTCTGGCAGCAGAAGCATGTACTGCCGGGGCTCCAGCAGCCGCTGGATCTTGAAGCGGATCTCCAAAAAGTCGTGGGAGACGTGACGGTACAATCGGCAAAGCGAGGGGTCGGGGACAGCTGATGGCTCCTCGCTGGCCTCCGTGTCCTCCACTGCCGGTGTCTCCTCAGGGACGGGCAGGAGGAAGAGCTGCCCCGGCGGTGGGTCCTCCTGCGCCGGCGCCGGCAGCCGCACTGTCTCCTCCTTCATCTTCTTGGCACTGTCCTTGCCAAAGAAGACGCATTGGTCCACCACCCCCGTCACCACCACGTCCACGTGGAAGCCGGAGGCGCAATCCCGCGCCGACGCCGACGCACCCTCACCAGTTCCTTCACCCATCTCTGGCTTGACAGCAGTCGCCGACCCCTCGCTGCACCCTATGTCCATGTCAGGGCCGTCCCCATCCCCCTTGGGACCAGCAGTGGCCAGGAGGAACTCCACATTGTTGGGCAGCACATCACGGGATGGGCTGATCAGCTGGTAAAGGTCACAGGTGATCTTGTCCTTGGCGCGACCACTGGCATTACCACCACCGCTCGCCGTCCCACAGCTCATAAAAACACAATTGGGACGCCCCCCAGCACCCGACTCAGCTGCAGCAGCTCCAGCACGGGGCTCACGGCCGCTGGAGATGCGGAAGGCGATGCGCACCTCACCGGGACCCGGTGTCGATGATGCTGCCGCTGCTGCAGCACATTCAGCACCTGGGCGGCACAACCCATTGGGTCGGGTGCCACCGTGCTCCCGCTGCCGTGACTCAAAATGGGCAACAGCTTCTGCCACCCGGCTGCAATCGGAGCCACTCGGTGCTTTGGTTTCACCGCTGGCTGCCTCCATGAAGACAACTGGGGCAGCAGGAGCGCCGCAGGGCCGGGGGAAGCTCTGCAACGCCAGCGCCGTCCTCTGCTCCACCAACGCCACCATCTCCGCCACTGACAGCAAGTCGGGGCCTTCACTGGCAGCAGCGGAAGGTTCACTGGGACACTGGCAAGCTGCGTCCTTGCTGCCAGTAGCCCATGCTGGGCTTGGCTTGCTCTTAGTGGGGTCATGGCAGCGCCGGCGCCGCTTGGCTTTGGAGCTATCGCTGCCCCAGTTGCCTTTTACCTTCATGGTGCTGGCACGGCCGCCGCTGCCACCACCACCGCTGCCACCACCGCACTGGTGTGCCACAAAGAAAGCCACCTTCTCCTTGGTGTTCCCCGGTTTGATGACATACCACGTGTCCAGCAGCACCCGTCCTTCCTCTGCCGATGCTGGAGCAGCCGGGGCAGCATCGGCAGGAGCCGGTGGCGTGTTTTCGGAGGGGGCCTGGGCTCCAGCAGGCTCCTCGGTGGGACGGCAGGAGAAAGGTTTCTTGGTGGAGCCAGGGCCAGGGCATGGTTTGTTCTGGGAGTAAGTGCCGAAGGGCCGCGGGCACCAGAGCTGCAGCTGGGGGAAGGCGTTGGGCTCCATCAGGGCAGCATGGCACTGCCGACGATGCCGACGTTGCCGACGTCGTGGGGTGCCAGCGCCCGTGCCCAAGCCTGCCACAAGAGAAAGGGGTGTTAATGGGGCTGGCAGGGATGGGGTGGGGATGGTGAGGACAACATGGGGCTGGCAGGCCCAGTATGGGGCTGGTGGGGCCAGTATGGGGCCAGTATGGGGCTTTTGCAGATAGTATGGGGCTGGCAGGCCCAGTATGGGGTTGGTGGGGGCCAGTATATGGCCAGTATGGAGCTTTGGGGGCCAGTATGGGGCCGGTATGGGGCTTTTGGGGACACTATGGGGCTGGCAGGACAAACACGGAGCTGAGGGGGGGGTTAACGGAGCCATTCCTGGGCCGATCCCAGTACCGTTACTAGGTCGTACTGGGATCACTGGGGTGGGCCCTGGGGGCGGTGCCCGGGCTGTGCCCCGCCCATGGCTCCTCCCCTCGCCACTCACCCCCCACGTCCCGCCCCGTTTGCATACTCACAGGTCTCGCGCACCCTGCCCGGAAGGCCCCGCCCCCTCACCGGCTCCGTCCCGGCGCGGTCCGCAGGGGGGCGGGCCCGGCCTTTAAAGCGGCCGCGGCACCCGAGGAGGTGGGGCTCGTCCGCCCCCACCCTTTTAACGACCGGCGGCTGCAGCCGTTTGTTGACAGGCCCTGCGCGCGAGGTGGCGGCCAATCAGGGAGCCGCGTTCGGGCCATGCCCATATATGGACGGCGGCAGCGCGCTGCGCCGGGGGCGTGGCCGGCGATGGGGCGTGGCCGGCGAGGAGTGGGGGCGTGGTCGGATGTCCCCGCCCTCCCTTGGGCCGCGGGGACGGGAGGGGCGCGGACA